TGGAATCATGAAAATTTTAGGTAAATTGATGGAACTAGAAAAAAAATCATCCTTAGTGGGGTAATCCAGATACAGAAAGACAAATATGGTATGTACTCACTTGTATGTATGTGAATAATAGCTGTTAAGTCAGTGATAACCAAGTTCCAATCTATAGAACTACAGAAGTTACGTACAGAGTAACAGACTGTGGTAGGCCAAGGTGGCAGAAAGAGCTCATAGGAAAGGGAAATAGAACAGGTAGTTATAAACAGATGGGGAGATGAAATAGGGGGATCAAGTTGCAATGGGAAGAAAGAGAAGGATGAAGGAATACAGGAAGAGGCAGTTAAAACTGAGAGCTATTTGAAGTGTTACATGGAAACCTAACAGTAGAATCTTCATAAAATATATACATACATGAAGGGGATGTAAAGAAATTACCAAATAACAGGGGAGACAAAGCTTCAACTCACCGCCCCTTCTCACCAAATGAAGTGTCCAGGACCAGAATTGAGTTCCATCTAATTGAGTTGTTGGCCAAAAGGGTCCTATGCAAACTCTCAAACAACTCAACCAACAGCCAAGATAATAGGTTTCCCTTCACAACTAATGGCAAGCCCTCATTGCTGAAGACAACACCTATAGAACTCAATGATGACGTTGAATTGATTCCTACAAACAGCCTTCACTAAGGTGTACTCTGAATGCTACCAAAGGAGAAATGCAAGTGCCAAGATGACCACAAAATCTTTGATCTTCAACGGTGTCCTGTCTGCATATGCTAAGGTAATGGTGGCACAAAGGTTTTAGGAGTAACTAACCCATATTTGAAGGTGCTCTCAAGCTAAGGAAAGGCTGATTTTCTATTCAATCTCGTGCTCCTTATCTCAAAACATATATTTGGAGTGAAAAATAGAAAATAATCTACTTTAAGCTTCTCTCACTCACCTGCTAAAGTGCACTGCTTTCCAAAGGCGCACCATGGTGATACTTCTCTTGTTTTATTCTATATCCATCCCATTCCCTTTCCAATGGCAAACTGTGTCTGTATTAATGTTCTCAACCAAGAAAAAAGCAATGTGAAGTAGACAAGTAAAGATGGGATTTATGAGAGAACTTATTGGACCATGTGTGTACAGAGGCCAAGATGTCTCAAAACCTGCCACCTGTAACTTTGAGAGTAGGAATACAGGATAAATAAATTAGGCCCAGTTCGTAAGCCTTTGTAAGTTGTATTCACAATGATTATTTCTTTCTTGTCTTAAGTAAAAGGCCTCAAAACCTGGAGAACCTCTGGTGATGGTTTAAGCATCCAAATCCCAGAGATCTTGGACTCCTTGTGACCAAGATGAGAGAAATAAGCTGTCACAGCTCCAAAAGAAAGACCTCATATTTCCTCCATCTTTTGTTCTGTCTTAGACCTTAGCTGCTTAGATGGTGCCTGACCTCACTGAGAGTGGTTCTTGCCCACTCTTTCCACCACACTCCAGGCCAGTCTCCCCTGGGATCACTTCTAGAAACATCCCCAGAAATAATGCTTTGCCAGCTACACACATGTCATGCAATCCACCCAAGTTGGCACCTAAAGTTAATTATAATGATGCATTTCTAGATGCATTTTCCTTGATGCTTCATCCATAAAACCAGTGTACTACCACCAAGTAACTGTCAGTTGACATTTTATAGGGAAGGCTTCATAATAAGCTATGTTCCATTTCATTTTTTTCTCTCATGCTTTACCCACAAATCTTATTTCACAGATGTGTAACTGAGAAATTGTGATTATAGAGCTATCTAGCTGATGTTAGTGAGCTCTTGAGGTGCAATAGAATCCAAATATTCTTTCTTCTGGTTAAATGATTTTCACATTCTGGTCGATATGTGACAGTTTATAAAGAATTGCTTAGAGAGCTGAAGGAACCCAAACATAATCATCAAGGGAAAGTTAACCATTGTCCAAAAGGGTGGATGCTTCAGTTTCAGCCCACCTGCTATATAAATACCAAAGATCCAAAACCCCTCTGCCATTTTTAAAATGTTTCTTTCTGTTTTTAGACTGAAGAATACCAAGAGTTCTCCTCAACTGAACCCTATGATCCTATTAAACTTGAAATGGTTATTCTAATTTAGCCTCTGAAGGACACTGGGCTGGAGCCAACACTTAAGCTTTGAGAGATTTCAGGAACCTACCAAATCATTGAATATGCAATAGCTCTAAATAAGAACGGGGTGATTCCTGAGACGTTATTTGCCATGCAAACCAATAGCTCATCCTTATTCTAAAAGCAAGAGGATAAAGCATAATTAAACAGACATGTTGCCAAAGGTAAATTCTACTTATTGTAAATAGGTTCTGATTACTATAAATACAAGCAAAATACATTTACAATCACTGTGCATATTTTGAAATTTTAAAAGACATGAAGATACAAAAATCTTGAATTTCACTTTGCTTTCAGTATTCATTCTCAAATACTTTTGTTGAAAATGGTATGGGGCCATATAAACATTTTGGAAGTTTTAGATATTGCTAAATTACAGTTGAAAAATTAGTAAATACAACAAACATTTAAATTCACTCCCCTTTGTTCTATATTATGACCATGTTTTAAAAGGGTAGGGGTGTTTTTTATCATCATACAATTGGACGAAAGAGAAGAAAATTATGTCAAAGAACATAATGTGTGTGGTGGCTTGAATACATGTAGCCTCCATAGATTCATGAATTTGAATCATTTGTATGCTTGGCCATAGGAAGTGGCACTATTGGGAGTTGTGGCCTTATTGGAGGAGGTATGGCCTTGTTGAAGTGTGTCACTGTGGAGGTGGGGGTCTGGAGTCTTTCTTTTTTTCAAGCTTTTAACCACTTTAATTGGCAGAGTTACAACTGGTATGCAATATGTCTTACAACAAATGTAGATATGATGTCATCACATATCAAAGAAGTTGCATACCTTCCCATGTTTAAACGATGTCAGCTAACTTACTACAAGAGAGCAAAGTGGCAATGAGTCAATGTGATCTAACGCTTCTGAGATCAAAGTTGAAGTGGTACATCCATTTGCCTTCAAAAGAAGGTTAAAGGCAAAGATGGTGAATCGACATGCAAATTAGCATCTGGACTAATCACAGAATTCATTTTCAAGATGCATAGGATCAAACCATGCACCCTTGCAAGCAAGATGAAGGGCAAACAGATGACATCAGACCATAATCTACTCTTCTAAGACCTTAGGGTGTGAAAATAAGAGGCCTTCTTCCGGGAGTGTGTGGTGTGTGGTGTGTGTGTGTGTGTGTGTGTGTGTAGCAATGTTTGTAGAGTAAATATGTTAAAACCTTTTGGCCAATTCAAAAGCAGAAAAATATATTTGGGAAAGTCCATTCTCACACTCACACATTTTAAAGTAACAAACATGTTTGAGCTTTGAGCTGACACTGTCAGTCACCTTGTTGTATATGACTGCTTTGCATTTTGCTGAAAGCAATTAGAAGCAAATCAGAACCACAGCAACTACATATTCACAGACAATGTCATCCTTCAGTGTGAAAAAATTCTTGCTGTGTCTCTGGTTTCTAATAGGTCTTGGGAGGAAGATGGTTCCCCTGGCCTAGGATTTATTTGGGGGGTCTGGAGTCTGGAGTCTTAAATGCTCAAGTTATGTCCAGTGTGACAGAGAGAGAAAGAGAGAGAGAGAGAGAGAGAGAGAGAGAGAGAGAGAGAGAAAAGAG